CTGAATACTTTCCGTACCCACTGTATAATTATTTACATGGTTTCATCAACCAGTTCACTTCTAGGTCAGCAGTGACTGTCAAACTCTCCACCATCTTGGGTTGCAAAATCCCAATATCCCCATCAAGCTGTTTGTTAGGCGACACCACACAGATTAACCTTTAACTAAATACCTACAGAACAATTATAGCAAGGACAAACAGTTTTTGTCCGAGAGCTATTGTTGCTTTAAATGCTGCTAAAACCTTAAAATTTGAATGATTGATGGGATTTTACGGGAACTGTGCAATAGTCAGATGTGTATGGATGCGAGTGTGTAAATTTGTTGGGTTTTATTGTTTATGATTATTTTTTATTATCAAAGGATTGCATTTTTAATTTCGTTGTACAATGACAATAAAGTTAAAGTTAAAAACCTATTTCTCGAGCTATAACCAAGAAAACAATCTTTCAAAACTGAAAATCTAGGCAGACCACAAATCACTGGACCAACCTACTTACAGAATACAGTGGTGTGAAAAAGTGTTTGCCCCCTTACTGATTTCTTATCTTTTTGCATGTTTGTCACACTGTAATGTTTCAGATCGTCAAACAAATTTATATATTAGTCAAAGATAACACAAGTAAACACATCATGCAGTTTTTAAATGAAGGTTTTTATTATTAAGGGAAAACAAAATCCAAAACTACAAAGCCCTGTGTGAATAAGTGTTTGCCCCCTAAACCTAATAACTGGTTGGGCCACCCTTAGCAGCAACAACTGCAATCAAGCGTTTTCGATAACTTGCCATGAGTCTTTTACAGCGCTGTGGAGGAATTTTGGCCCACTCATCTTTGCAGAATTGTTGTAAGTCAGCCACATTGGAGGGTTTTCGGGCATGAACTGCCTTTTTAAGGTCATGCCACAGCATCTCAATTGGATTCAGGTCAGGACTTTGACTAGGCCACTCCAAAGTCTTCATTTTGTTTTTCTTCAGCCATTCAGAAGTGGACTTGCTGGTGTGCTTTGGATCATTGTCCTGCTGCAGAACCCAAGTTCGCTTCAGCTTGAGGTCACAAACGGATGGCCGGACATTCTCCTTCAGGATATTTTGGTACACAGCAGAATTCATGGTTCCATTTATCACAGCAAGTCTTCCAGGGCCTGAAGCAGCAAAACAGCCCCAGACCATCACACTACCACCACCATATTTTACTGTTGGTATGATGTTCTTTTTCTGAAATGCGGTGTTACTTTTACGCCACACATAATGGGACACACACCTTCCAAAAAGTTCAACTTTTGTCTCGTCTGTCCACAGAGTATTATCCCAAAAGTCTTGGGGATCATCAAGATGTTTTCTGGCAAAACTGAGACGAGCCTTTATGTTCTTTTTGCTCAGCAGTGGTTTTCGTCTTGGAACTCTGCCATGCAAACCATTTTTGCCCAGTCTCTTTCTTATGGTGGAGTCATGAACACTCACCTTAACTGAGGCAAGTGAGGCCTGCAGTTCTTTGGATGTTGTTGTGGGGTCTTTTGTGACCTCTTGGATGAGTTGTCGCTGCGCTCTTGGGGTAATTTTGGTCGGCCGGCCACTCCTGGGAAGGTTCTCCACTGTTCCATGTTTTCGCCATTTGTGGATAATGGCTCTCACTGTGGTTTGCTGCAGTCCCAAAGCTTTAGAAATGGCTTTATAACCTTTTCCGGACTGATAGAGCTTCATTATTCTCTTTCTCATTTGTTTTTGAATTTCTTTGGATCTCGGCATGATGTCTAGCTTTTGATGATCTTTTGGTCTACTTCACTTTGTCAGGCAGGTCCTATTTAAGTGATTTCTTGATTGCGAACAGGTGTGGCAGTAATCAGGCCTGGGTGTGGCTAGAGAAATTGAACTCAGGTGCGATAAACCAGTGTTTTGACAGGGGGGCAAACACTTGTTCACACAGGGCTATATAGTTTTGGATTTTGTTTTCCCTTAATAATAAAAACCTTCATTTAAAAACTGCATGATGTGTTTACTTGTGTTATCTTTGACTCATATATAAATTTGTTTGACGATCTGAAACATTACAGTGTGACAAACATGCAAAAAGATAAGAAATCAGTAAGGGGGCAAACACTTTTTCACACCACTGTACATTGCCACAGAGAGGATAACTGCAAGAAACATAAAAAACATATCTTTAATGACATATGGAATCCATTTATAATTTACTTCAACGTATAATTTACAAAAACACTACACCACGTACATATCCATAGTAAACCACCTGAATCACATTTTTTGCATTTAGTCACATATCACCGTCATTACTTTACAAACTACTTTTCAATAACAACTTCTGTTTTTTCCTCCTTCCCTTGCCTGTCCCTGTCTTTGACCATCGTGCACACGCAGAGCGAGTCATGCACCAACAAAAACTCTCACACACAAACCTCTCTTTTCTGTTTTGTTTGTTTATTTGCTTATTGAATTTTTTCCTCTGTCTCACTTCATCCCGCAACCCTTGTTTTTCTTCATGATATATATCTATTATTTATCCACACATTGGTGTTGGTAGGTGGGTGGTAATGGGGCGGGAATCTAGCCATGAGAGGGCTGGTGGGGTGGGAATGTAAGGGCCTCACAGAATATGTAACTCTCATTTGTATGAAATTAAAAATAAAGTTGTCCTCCAAAGGGCGGTGGGGGTGGATGGGTTTAAAAAAAAAAAAAAAGAAAGCTACTGAAGTATGCCTGTGTCCTGTGGAGGTATATTTAAATTTTCTGACTCTTGCTTCACAATAGGTGTTAAATTAGATATAAGCTACAGTGTGATTAATTAATGGAAGAAAATGGTGCTGATGGTGTTGAAGGATGAGAGGAAACATGACAAGAGGCAAATTAGTTTTTCACCTATGAGTATGTTGGGCCACAGATCTGAAAGGGCTGAAAAAACATAAATACTTCAGAATTAATTGCTGTAGCAGCTGACAAAGGTGGACACATTTGCTTTGTAGAATGC